CGCCTCTCAACGCGCCCTGTCCGCTTGTGCTCCTTTCTTTAGGGCGTTACCATCGTGAAGCCGATCGTGTACGGCAACGTCGCGCGGTACTTTGGGAAGAAGAGAGAGGAGGATGGCCACACTCACCAGTGGACGGTGTATGTGAAGCCGTACCGGAACGAGGTACGGCAGAGCCGCTTCCCCGAAAGCCTGGTCCGGCTTTGGAGCAGGCGGGCTGGGAAAGCGGGAGCTGCCATCCACGGAGATGTGCAAAACGCCTGTGGATGTGGCACCTGGGCCGTGCCTTAGTGGTGGTGGCCTTGGGGTAAGGGTTGCGCTCCGGGATGTAAGAGATCTTTCCCTGCCGAGCAGCACCGGGACGTGGGGTTTCAAAAGCCGGGATTAGAGGAAAGGGCAGGAGGGTCTTTGGCTGTAAGCTGAGAAAACACAGAGGCCGGTGGGTTTCCAAAAAGGAAAACCGTGGGAAAGACATGCTTCCACTTAGGTTTTTTGGAGTGATCTTTCCAGTGAAGGGGAAGACTGGAGAACATTCATGGGGATAAAACACTAAAAGAGAACTGTGTGCAAGAACTAATTTTTAGATTTACCGCTTTGCTTTCCTTCTGTGCCTAAAGTCAGAAAAAATACTATTTAAAATCAGAAAGAATGTAGGCACATAGGATAGATGACTGAATAGTAGCTTCGTGTGCTGAAATAATAAGAAATAACAATGTTTCTGTTTTAGGACATGTCTGCATATGTGAAAAAAATTCAATTCAAGTTGCATGAAAGCTACGGTAATCCTTTAAGAGGTGGGTTTTGCATTTCAGCAGTTGTTCCTAGAATTGGGCGTTTGTTCCGCCTTTATCACGGTGTTAATACTTCTGTGTTGCCTATTGCAGTTGTTACCAAACCACCATATGAAATCACCGAAACAGGCTGGGGTGAATTTGAAATAATCATTAAGATATTTTTCATTGATCCAAATGAAAGACCTGTAAGTACATTGAACTTTTAACAAAGCTTAAATAATCAATTATGGTGGTCAACAGCTCTAGGAAATTGCTGGACAAAATAAGTCTCATTGTAATGAAAGTCTCTTCTTGTAGAAGATTATTTTAAGTATTGGTCACATTTTCTTCTTTCTGTGCTGCACTCCTGGTATTCATGGCTGCTTTTCCTGTGCTTGGCTTCTCTGATATTTACTAACATGTGACCACATATTGCACCTTACCTGGGTTGAGCACACACTGAGGATTTCTCTTCCACAGAGCTTCCAATTTCTAGGATATTTAAGTATTTTAATTTTTATTTTTTCTGTCAGATCAAAATCAGTCAAAAAGCAGCAGGCCTACTATACTAGCATAAATCTCTGCCTAAGACCAGGTTAAAAAACTCTGTAGTTGCGTAAAGTGCTGGAATTAATTTCTTTCTTCCATTCCTGTGTTTTAGTCATATCTTGTAGGTTTGTTTTTCAGATCTAGTAGGAAACTTGATTACTCTGTTTTAGGGAAAAGGATGTTTATTTCGGGAAGGATTGAGTTCCTTCTGTCACATGAACAATCCTTTTTTTAGGCCATTTTTTGCTGAACGAGAGTGGAAGTGAATTTCATGTGTTTCTGCAATGTGTGGCGATTGGTAACAATGGGTTTCCCGTGCTGTTGGGCTCGGTAGCACCCTGACTTTTATAAATTCCATTCACAGCTTGACCAAGCTGTCCTAAGGTTGGTTGGGTGTTTTTCTTTGCTGCTGTTGTTGGAAGGCAGTTTGGGAGCCTGTCACGTCCTTCCTTTCCCGGAGCTCCCAGGGGCAGTCGGGTACTGCTCTGTTCCACCACGGCCCCTGGGCCTGTGAGTGGAAGGGGAGAAGTGTGGGCTGTGTGTGCCCTCCCAGGCCAGGCAGGCAGTGGCTCCTCAGGGCTGCACAGAGGGTTCCAGTCCTCTCCCCACCCTGCTGTTTGCAGGGCAGGGATGGAAGAGTAACCCCAGAAAGAGAGATTTCACTGAAAGGCGATTCACAGCCTCCCTGGTGCGTCGGTTTCTCAAGAATAGAGGATAAGGTCACAGAAAGCACTTTCTAACTGATTGAGAAAGTCAATTTGAATTAAATCACCCATTTGGAAATGGTGGTATTAGTATTTTTCATATACCAGTCCTAAACCACTTTCCCAGACATTTTTGAAGTCTCAAGAGACCTTTAGATAGTTGGCATGTTTTAAAAGTTAACATTAAATTCAAAGCAATTCTGCTGAAGCTATATGACATTTATATTTGCATTCCTAAAACATTTTTAAGTCTTATACAGTTACTTTGTAGGAACAAATACTACTTGTTGATCTGTAGAACAAGTTTTTTATTTCGCTACAATTTTTAAGCTAATAAAATTCTGTCTTTTGAATAGGTAACTTTATATCACTTGCTGAAGCTTTTTCAGTCGGATACCAATGCCATCCTGGGGAAGAAAACTGTAGTTTCTGAATTCTATGATGAAATGGTATGAACATTTCTAATGTAATCCTCACTTTATTTTGAAGAGTATTAGTGATACCATGTATTTTTCTCCTCCATTAGATATTTCAAGATCCTACTGCAATGATGCAGCAGCTGTTAACAACGTCTCGTCAGCTAACACTAGGTGCTTATAAACATGAAACAGAGTGTAAGTTGAAAATTTAAAATATTTTAAACTTTAGAAATAACAATAGTTTGATTCGCTTTTAATGTATTTTTTGGGGGGGCTGTTACAGTACAATGGATTGGGATGCTGCAAAAAGGTGGTAATTTTGCCTTAAATTTAACTTCAGCTTTTGCAAGGGTAGTAATACTTACCTGAAAACTTTAAGATTTTCTTATCCCTATGGCTCTAAAAAAAAAGGAATTAGGAATTACTTGGTATGAAGAGTGATGGCATGAACTACACCTAGTCTGACATCTTTGAAATGAATTAAAACAGAGGGTAAATGAAGGCCACCCTATGGTACAGTTCTGTTCAGCACTGCAAGCAAAGGTCACACTTGAAGGCCTGAAGTGCAGAACAGTTAGTGATGTTTAAGTCAAAGCAGCAACTCTTTGTGGATAAAGAGTAGTGTCTGAAAGCTCTTTTTTCCCTTCTGCTTCCTTAACTATGTATGTAGGTAATTTCAAACATACTCCTTAAGTACAGCGTAATGGTTTTTACGTCCTTTTTATCCAATTTGTTTCCAAATATAAGCAAAAATATTAAGGGAACTAAGGAAACTAAATTAAAGACTCATTGGTTCATTGGTTGTGCACTGCATTTAGTGATTATTTCTGTTCTGATCTTCTATATTTCATCTGTTATTTGCTTTCTGAGAGTAGAAGATGTAGCATTGATTGAGCCAAAATCCTGCCCTATTGATTACAAACATTAATCCATTGCAGTCCACCCTACCTGGCCTTCTGTTCACCCAACAACAAATGTCATGTAGTTTTTGGCCAGCAGAGCTAAGAATGGCGAGTGATTGTGAATTTGAAGCTCTTCAAAGTTAGGGTTCTTATTTGCCTTAGTCTGCTTAGCTCTGTGGATATGTGAGCTGCTTGTATTTCCTGCCTCAGTTCAGCCAGGCTTGAGGTGGCTTTTTGTTATTGTTACATGTTACAGTTTTTGTTTGGAAAATGTTTAATAATATGATGGATAAAAACATCCAAATTTAAACTTTTTTCATTTAAATTTTTTTAATATTTCTCCAGACAGTAGGTATAAACTTTCAGTGTGGTTTCTTTGTCTAAATACTTCCTTAAGATGCAGTAATGAAGCAGATATTTACCACTGCCCACAGCTATGTAGTGTATGGGATATGAGTGAATTCCACAGCCTTCATTGACTTGTTGGCTTTACCATCTTTGTCCTAAAACCTGTGAATGTAAAAATAGTAAAAAATAGGTACTTGATGTCAGATATTCATTAAAGCAGGGCAGCATAACTGAAACTTTCAGATCTGTAGAATTAAACTCCAGTGAGAGATAGAAAATGATTACAGTTCCGTGGAGAAGGAAACCCAGAATGGTGGAGGCTTGAAAGGACCTCTGGGTGCATCATGTCCATCCCCTGCCCTAGCAGGGCCACCTACAGCTGGCTCCCCAGGACTGTATCCAGATGGCTTCTAAATGTGTCAAGTGATGGGGATTCCACCACCTTTCTGGGCAACCTGTGCCACCGCTTGGTCACTTTCACAGGAAAAGTTTCCTGATGTTCACAGGGAGCCTCCCACGTTTGTTTGTGCCTGTGGCCTTGCGTGCTGTCACTGGGCACCACGTATTCATAGTTCTCTGTAATTTCCCATGTCAGATTTTATTTTCTTCACCTAATCTTTAAAAAAAAATGTAGAAAATTATTTTATTAATTGTATAGCTATCTGCAAAACTGATGGGTTGAGGGATGAATGAGGCTGCAAAACAAACTATTTTTTAAATCCAGATTCTTATGTGGACACCATTTTGATGACAAACATTGAATTTCTAAAGCTAACAGAAACAGATTTTTTCTTTCAGGACAAATGCTATCCAAATTACTGTTTCAGTTTAAAAAAAAAAAAAAAAGGCAAATTTCATGGCACTTAAAATATACTTTTTTTCTTTATCACTGCCACAGTTGCAGATCTTGAAGTAAAAACCAGGGAGAAGCTTGAAGCTGCCAAAAAGAAGACTAGTTTTGAAATTGCTGAGCTTAAAGAAAGACTAAAAGCAAGTCGTGAAACCATCAACTGTTTAAAGAATGAAATCAGAAAACTTGAAGAAGATGATCAGTCTAAGGATATGTGACAAGTGCTGACTTGAGTGTGTACTGAAAATGGAAAGACTTCAGTCATGGAATTGTAGGAGTTCTCTTCAGTTCTGTAACTGAGACTATGAGAATTTCACTGACAAATGATTGAAGTTTGTGGCAATCAACTCCATAAATGGAAGAAAAAAGAAAGAATGTATCCTTGTTTTATAGTTAAAATCTGTGGGTACTTAACGATTTTTTTCAAGTGGAAGTGGTCTTGAAGACCAGACTACTTTTTCTTTGAAAACTGCATTTGAGTCGTGTATGAAAACTTTGTATTAAGTCTTGTATTAGTTCAATGTGATTTTACAAAATGCTGGTGTTTACTTTTTTTACTTTTTTTTTTCTACTGATTGTTTAGACATGCATCTTTAAAGCTAAAAATAAAATATGCAGTTTTTTATTTTAATGTTTTTTGTCTCTGTCCAGCTGTGGGCTTCAGCATCTGTAAGGAAGCTACTGTAAGTAGCATACTCTGATTTCAGGCAGAGGTTGAAATACAAAGGTATGCAAGTTATTTAAGTCTGGTTACAGAGATTTTTGGCATGTCTCTCTGTTACCAGCACAATGAAAACACGTTCTGAAAACAGGCTTTTAAATAACTTGTATATCCGCAGGTAAGAGTTTCTAGCCCCAAAGCTGCTTTAACACATACAAATGTATCAATGCTACAGGCTATGCTCAGAAGCAGCAAATTATTCCAGTACTGTTTTGCAGGATTTTGTTTCATATTTGTACTGTACTACACTCACTTCAGCAAATATTGTCTCTGCCACTTCCTCCTCTCACTCTTCCCTGTTCCAGCCTGGTGTCCCGCCCAGTCAGGAATTAATGGAGACAGTCTTCCATTAATTCCTCCAATTGGAGAGCTCCTCACAGGCTACATTTCTTCTCAAAGCATGAAGTCCCTCGTGGGGTCACAAATCCTGCCAGCAAAGCTGTTCCAGTGTGGGCTCCTTTCCAAGGGGCCACAGGAGCCGGTCCAATGCAGGCTTCCCACGGGATCACAGTCTCCTTTGGGCATCCCTTTGCTCTGGTGTGAGCTCTTCTGCAGGCTGCAGGGGGATGTCTGCTCCAGCACCTGGAGCGTCTCCTTCCTTGCTGTCCATGGTGCCTGCAGGGCTGTTCCTCACACATTCTCACTCTCTCTGCTCCTGTTCCCCCTGCCCAAGCAGGGTTTTGTTTCCCCTTTTTAAATCAGTAACCTGTTGGGCTCAGCCTTGGCCATCCTGGAGCCGTCTGGCATTGGCTCTGGTGGACACAGGGGATGTTCCTGGCAGCTCCTCACAGAAGCCACCCCTATAGCCCCCTCACTACCAAAGCCTTGCCACATAACTCTTAAGTCACTTGTAAGCGTTTCCCCAAAAAATCTACCTGATCTCATCAATCCTTTAAGAGCAAAGCACTCCTTTCTTCATATTTGAAACAACTGATGATTGATGGGCTTTTACATGGCTTGGTAAAGTGAAAGTTTCATCACTCAGTATGTAGACTTAGGGTTTTCATTAAGAACAGCTACTTGGCATTCTTGGTTTATGGTATTATGAATACACATAGGTTGAGGAGCACCTTGTACTGTGGTATCCAGACAGATCCTTCCTGGCAGTGCAGAATATCCAAATTTGTCAATTTTTGGCTACTTAAGTGCTTTGGTTTCTTTATTCAGTAGCCAATTTCCTTTTAAGCAGCAGCTGAAGAAGAGTGCCATGTTCAGAGCTGTGCACTGAGAATAAGACTTGCATGAGCCACAGTATGTTGTGCATGCTGAAATAAAAATGGGAATGGAAAGCACAATTTTTGATGTATACAACATTATTTTCATATTTGTCAGTTAAAATAATAGTAATGATGACCAACTCAAATGGAATATTAAGGAGGTTCTGGAGAAGCTGTGACTAACATGAACAGGTCTGCTCAAACAGACTTGAACTGGCCAAAAAATAATGGAGATGTACCTTTTGAATCCAATTCTTTGTGGGAGCCTGAAATATTTTTTTTGTTTACATCCAATAAACAGCCTAGTTTCCTAGGATACAGGAGCAATGATCTTGGCTCCACTGCTAGTAGCCATCAGCATACTAGATCACTGATGTAATTTCTGCTTGGAGTTGGTGGTCTTTTTTTCTTCAGTTTTTCTTTCAACTTTTTGTATTTTTTTTTTCTCCTTTTCACTCTCTGCAAAGATCCTAGAAGAGTCATTAGACTCCTCTCTCAAAAATAAGAAAATAGTTCTAATTTGCTAACACAGCTGTCTGCTGAGTAGTCAGTCAATAGACAACAGGAAGAGCACCTTCTGCTTTACAAAATTCCACGTTAGGATCTGTGTTTTCATTAGAAAACACTTTTTTCAGGTGCTGAGAAAGCAACTGAGCCCTGTATTAGACAGTAACTAAATTCCAGGAGAAGTTAATGACAATTAATCATAGGTGCAGTCACAGACTGTCGTGAGTTGGATGGCATGCACAGGGATTGAATCCAGCTCCTGGCCATGCCCAGCCATCCTCAAGAACTGCATGGATCCCAGCTAGTTGAGAGGTTATGTTTGTTCCCATGTGCTCTGCAGCTGAAAGTTATTGATGCCAACAGCCAGGAGTGTGTGTGTACACAGTAAATTTACAGTGTTGATCTTCTAGTATCATTTTCAAAGTCATTAGAACTGAGATGGAGTGGGGCACCTCAGGACACAGTTGCATTTGACCTCCATTGCCTTGAAGAAAAAGACAAACCCAAATGCTACACTTGGCTTCATGTTTGGCAGCCCTACGAAGATGTGATTCCAGAAAAATAGTTCCAGTTTGTGCTTGCCAGGGTGCAAACTTAAATGCTGTTTATATTGCTGAGACTGACCTTAGACTGTGGCTTCATCCTGAGTTGTCATTGGGAAACACAGTTGTGTTTACATCTTGCTTTGCAGAGGAGGAGACAAAAATCTCAATGTGCTACAAGTACAGTCTGATATCACTGAATTGCACAGGGAGTTGTTCAGATGCCTGCACTAAAGCTTTAGCCACCACTTGAAGTAACCTTTTGCTAGGTAAAGTTAAACATGGTTTATCTCAGTTTACATGCTTAATGTTTTGAGTTTTACCAGTGAGCATCAATATCAAGAATGCAAAACTATTATTGTCATTGCCACTTCCACTATAAAGACTTGGGCATTTTAAATGTTTTAGGTAAGACAAATTATTACTCATCACAGTGATTTCAGACAATGATTCATTACTCAGTACCCAGTACTATGTATCACTAGCCCTTTTCCTACCTAGCTCCATCTCATATAAGTCAGTTCTTTGGGTTTGGCATGCTGTAGTTTACAGTCAGACTGTGAAGTACTGTAAGGCTGTTGCCCAGGATGTTTCTCACCAGAGGTGCCATTATCTGACAGGAGATGTGTAGATCCAGTTAAAGAATTTTTGTAGAGATGGAGCTGGAAGAAACATTAAAGCACTGTCTTCATTTTCTTTCTAGACAGATGCTGGTAATTACACCAACCTTTTGCTGCTTATGCATTTCATCCATATAAAATACATCAATGTGTGTTTGTGTCTTAATGAGAATACAGATTTAAGAGCATTTGAGGTTGTTTTCAGACATGATGTTTTCCAAACACCAGGTGGCAGGTATGCCCAAAATATTCTCCAGTCTCTACAACAGTTTAATTACTGGGATTTTAGTAGATCTGTGATGTCTTTGGTTAATCTCATTTGCTTTGAGACTTGGTCATCTGATGAGAACACCTGTATTTGTTTCTGTAGAGGTGACCAAATGATCTCTTGCATGTTAAAGAACTGTTCAGCAGCCTTGCCAACAAATCGTGTGCCGTGCCAGGAAGCACAAAATAAAGCATGAGTGTTTAGAATTTTTCTCCATTTGGGAAGGGAAGGAGCTTTCAAAATACAAATCTCTGGGGTTGCTTTTAGTGATTGTGTGACAAAATGAGTGCATGAAACAACTCAGGCACTCTACTGGACTGCATACTTTGCTTGCACTCAATTGCAGGATTTTACACCAGTAAAAGTAATTACTTTTGTTGTTTTATCAAGTTAATGTTGAAAAAGTTAATACACTTCTTTGACTGCTTACTGCTTAATGAATACTACAAATGAACCTTTGGCTTCCAAGTGTGTTGGAACTTTAATTTTCCTGCATACTGCAGGGAAGAACAGTTTCACTTAAGAGGCGGGAAAAAAGAGAATTGGAATGGCAGAAAAGAATAGCAGCAATGAGAAATTAATGTTATATATATATTTAGTTGAGATTTATGTAACATTTGCTTAGGATACATTCCTACTATTTCATTTAAAAATGTTTTAAGCTAGCACATGAAATCATGTAAGTTTCTAGTGAAACAGTCTTGCCCATGCAAATAGCTAATACATATCCAGAATTAAAATTTACATCTTGATTTTCATAGGAAAAATCTCTTGAATGTCAGTGATTAGGCCACAAAAATAACTTCATTAACATTGCAATATACAGTATTTGACATACTCTGCCCCTAATAATGACTGTATTTTTAAGGTGTTCATTTGTTATATTAGGTGTTCATTCCCCCACACTTGTGGGGAATTCTGTACTTTAGGACAGAAAACCAATTTAATCTGATCTACTACTAGCTTCTGCTTTGCAAATTTTTCACCTGAAGGGACTAATATCTTATTTTCTTCTTAATATCTTAATTCTGCAATGTCAGGCAAATCTCACTTTTTTCAGTCTACAAACCAGCATTTTTCAAACTGAACATTTTATTTAACCTCTGATCTAGAATGTTAAAAAAGCATCTCTGTGTTTTTAAAATAAGAATTAATCCAGGTTATTTTTGTTTTAATTACTGTCCTGAGTAGAGTGATAACTGCGTTCCACCTAAAGCTCTATTCAGGTCTCAATCCACCTGAACTCTGAGCAGGTAAAAAGGAGAGTGTTGAGAAGTTATGTTTGAGGAGCTTTCAGTAACCTTTTGATGTTATTTCCTGGATTCTTTATGGAAGATTATGTAATAGGTGAAGCATTTACTTGGTAAGCTAAATATTCCTGAGGAAAACTGCATCACTCAGTTTTAGTTCTTCACCATGAGATCATGAGAGTTCTCTGCCGTGCCGCTGCCCTCAGTGAGCTGTGGACAGTCAGCCCTGCAGGACTTCCCTGAGACTGGGCAGGGAACAGGCAAGAAAAAGCATAACCTCATGTAGTGGTTAGGGCATTAGAGGAAACAAATGGAATGGTTTTTTCTCAAGCTGAAAATAATCATCTCAGGAAAGAGTAGCATCCTTAGTAAATACATAAGTCTAAATTAGATGGAATTATTTTCCTGTTACCTTTGGAAGTTATACACCCTTTTAGTGACGTAGAATAAATATGCGTATATATACATATATTGGACAACTGGAACTGTTTTTTCATTTCCTTCTT